AACCGAATCGAATTAGATCATCTAAGATGGGCAGTATCGATACCTTATTTGTAGTATCAATACCGTAGGGTCAAGTATCGATACCCATATTAACACTATATTTTGTTACTAAAATTGTGGCCCTGTCTCGAGACCATCATTCTTGATCTTGAGACTAAAGGGGCAGTATCGATACTCTCATAGCAGTATCGATACTCCATGTCTGAAATTCCTAATTTTCCCCCCAAACCATCCAATATCGATATTGTTTATCCTAGTATTGATACTTGAACCTAGAAATGGTTTACTTAAGCACGAGGAAATGTCTAAAATCCCTTCTAAGGCCATAGTTTGATTTTTAATCGTGTGTTAAAACTTTAGGGAGCTAATTTGGGTCATAAAGTTTCTTAAAGACAAATGTTTTACATCAAATTCATCATCTATGGCTTAAATCAAGTTTGAAACCCAAAAAGCTCAATTACTTAAATCCTTACAAATCATCATGTTTATGAAAGCCTTAATACTCCAAATGATTAGAAATACACTACCTTGAGGTTTAAATCCCGAAATGAAGCTTCTTACTTAGCCACACTCATTCCTTTTGTGATTTGGATGAAAACCCCTACTTTTTCTTGCAACCAAAAAACCTAAAGCTTTGATTTATTAAAAGGATGTTGCTGGAGGGATTTAGAACTAAAATTAAGTATGAAAGAGGCAAGAAATGGCTCAAAAGATTTACCCTTGATTTATGGAGTTTGTAGAGAAAATGGGAGAAATAAAAATGAAATGAAGAAGATGAAATAAGAGATATAAAAACTCTCATCCTCTAAAATGGGGTAATAACGCTTTTGGTCCTTTCTCAACTCTCTATCATTCAAAAATCTCCTCTTATGACTAATTGGTCCAATTTTAATCAGTTAAGCCCAACAAATTGAATTATAAATTCTACGAGATCCACTTACCTCTCAGGTAAACCCAGAGCTACTAACCCATTCTTAAAAGAAATTTTATCCTCGAAATTTACTTGGATTGAAAATAACTTACTCTTCGGTCAAACATTGAGGCTCTTATATGAACTAATCCTCAAAGAAAAAATCATCGCAACATGACATGTTATTCATAACTCTCAAAATCGATCTACGATTTTCGTAAGGGTACTACATACGTCACCTTTAAACGAGAACCTTCGAGAAGCACGAAGTCGAAAATAATCACGTTCCAACTATCTATTACTATATGCCTGGAACGTTCCACAAAGATGACTTTACTTCATGATCCAACTGCTATTGTGATACTCTTCACTGTCTAGCTCTACTCAAACGAGTTACCAATTACACCATCTTATAAATCTCTTAACCCACTAAACTTAAGTAACTCAACAACTGCACGCTGAAACCCTAAGAACACTTGCCATACATAGTCTCGATGTATACCACTAAAGATATGACGATAAGTCTCGACTTGTAACACCCACAGACCGATGCGGGTGACCCGATCTAATCCGAGGTGTAACATTAAGTCCACCAAAGCATCCCACAATAAAAATCCCAAAAAATTTAAAATTGCTGTTAAAACGCATAAATTCATTTCTTACCCCCCTCAACCTGCTCTCTTTTCTCTCTTCCATTCTTATCTTCCACCGCCAATGGAGAATGAAACAAAGCCCTGAACCTCTCCGGCCACTGCGAATCGCTTGCCAATCAAGGGACAAAATAGCCCCAATTAAAACTCCACCTCACCCTCAAACCAAAAAAACAAGTCTTAACCTCCTAAACCACGACCCTCCACTCTAGATCTAAAATGGTTCTAGTGATTACCTTCAAAGGTTAAAGGCTTGGGATCGGAGAAGGCCACAGCTGCAACTCGACTATAAATCGATCCCTTAATTGAGACCCAACGGCTCGAGGCTCCAGCGAGGGGCTCGGGAAAGGTAAACTCTCACCATTATCCCCTTTCTTTTTTTAACTAGTTTCTTTTTCGAAAAGTCTTTTTTCTCTGCTGTTTTTTCTTGTTCGACTGCCCTTGTGTTTCCATATCTCTCCTTTTTTCGGTTCTTCATCTCTTTCTTTTTATGGTGAGGCATGTTGGATGTGACGCTTACTTCAGGTGGGAATGATGATCTCCCCTTGTATAGGAATGATTTTCCTAGATTTAAACAGGTAAAATCTCGATTTTTCGAGATTTATTTTATTTTTTAAGTGGGTTTTTGATTTGGTTCTAACATGGTAGTTGACTGATTTGGTTGATGGATGGTTGAAAATAATGGCGACATCAGAGACTCAAACGGCCGCGACGGTAGTAGGGAGCAGCTAGGGTAAACCCTAATTTGAGGACACATATAGGCCATTGGATACCTTCATATCCAAGGGTTGTTGTTGAAGGTGGCGGTGGAAACCATCATAAACCATAATGGGTCTAGGGTTTTGATGTAATTGGGTCGGGTCTCTTATTGGGCTTCGTTCTAGGCCTGAATCGGGTCTATTATAATCTGGATCCGAGTTTGGGCCTCCTGCTTGGGTACTAACCCAATTATAATTTGGACCTATTTTATTTGGGTCCAGCTTTGATTTATAATAGGGCCTGCAAAATGTAATAAATATTAATAAAATAATAATAATAATAATAAATAAGTTAGAACCCAAAAAAAATGGGTGTCAATAGTTATAAATGAATAACATTAGTGATCGATTTGTTGTAATTCGATAATATTAGTGACTAATTTGTTATTTTTAAAATTTAAGTGAAGAAAACAAAACGTATTCAAATATTAGTGACCATTTGTGTAGGTTACCGTTAAATATTTTTAATTTGAATTTGCGTCGAGTTGACATATATATTTTTATTTTTTATCACACCAGCATTTGTGCATTAATGCTCCGTCTGCCAGATATCTGCTCACTGGTGAAGGAGCTATTAGCTCTCTAACTTCCCCATGCCATGCATGCCACCTGTTTGTGAAAACGACACGGACATATTTCATTTGATCATGATTCTTGGTTTTACTTGGAAGGTTCCTGTGGCTCGGTTGTGTCTACAAGCACCGTTACATGCTAGTAGGTTCTTGATGGGAACTGGGAATGGGAGGGATGTCATTGCTATTTCACTAAAATATACACACACTGAGGATTTCTTGGGTGCTACTAATGCCAAGGATGGAAGTTGTGAACTGCGAGTTGATGATTTTCATGTTGTCCCTTGGTAAAGGATTGTTTCAGAGATTATTGAGAAGATACATGCATGGATTTACATAGCGGTCCGCGGCCGCAATAGCAGTGCCCTCCGCGACTGTTTTTGTATGACTGACACCCACAATCACCGTAATAATGCCCACTACGTCCGCAATTACAATAAACGCGACCGCAACCGTAATTTGAATCTATGCCTACATGTTTCACCTTCCAAAGATAAAACGTCTCCTGCTGTGATGGAGGTGGTTCTGAAACTCCCTTGAGAGAACACTTCTGCTTTAACCATAGAGTTTGACAAGATGTGCTTTTCATTATTTTTATTTAGCTATTAGTAAATATAGTTTTGCAAATTCTATTTAATCAGCACAAGTCATTTTCTTTCACCTGAGAAGAAAATGTGTTAAGGATTTGTTAAAACTGCTGTTAATTTGGCTAACACCTTAATGTTGAAACATAGACATCCCAATCTCTAGATTCTCAACCTTTGCTTATGTCTGAACAAAAATATGGATGTTACAACTGGTTGCTTCCATCATCCTCACAAACTGATGTATTTTCTTATTTCCAGTCTTAAATACTATTTTCCCTTATAATGTTAGTGAACCTGAATCATTGCATAAACTGCTGCTTCAGCAGAATATAGAATAGTTGCTATCGGTCTAGGACATCCTCTGCTTTTAGATAATGATATCTCTTTCAATGAAATCAATAATTTTGAACGGAAACAATATGAGCTTCTTGCTTGATCAGCCTTTACTATGATTTGTGCTTCTTAGTTTATTGTTGAATGCCCTTCTGATGATGGATTTGACTTACCATCAGCTATTATTAGCTTTCCCCACTTCCATGCAAGCATGGTTTGATATACCACCATTGTTGTTAGTTTGTCATGTTCAACATGAAATTTTGCAACATTTAGTAAGTGGGTGTATCTATCAGTGTGTGTCTTAAGTACTTAGCCCCACATGGTCAGTTGAGCAGCTGTGGAGGTGAACCTAAATGAAATGTGGCGGACCAAGAATTTATGTTAAAGGTACGAATTTAGAAATTAAATTAAAAATTTAAGGCATGTGAAATTATAAAATACCATACAATACAAAATTAGATAAGAAAACATAAAAAATATACATATAGAATATAAGAAAATTTAAATTTTTTAGAGGTAGGAGGATAATCCCCACGCTTTTGGTCTTCGACCATTACACCAAGGAGAGATGATCCATCCCTGCTTTAGACTTCAATCACGGTGAATCAATCTTGAATATGGTTTCCCTTTCAAGTTACTTGACAACTTAATAATAGTAGCTCCCTGTTTCTTGTTTTCTGATCATTCTGTTCTGGTTGGTAGTTTTTATTCTCTCTCTTCTTATTCTTCTTCATTTTTACCATTCTTTAACATGCTTCGACAAGTTTGGATAATTCATGTTTATTATATATTTTCAAGTCCCTCGGATCATCGAAGGACTGCATGCATGGTTGTGTAGGAAGAACTTAATTACAAATCTGAAGAAAATGGCGAAAACCACAATTTTCTTTATAAATTTACTTTTCTTCTGTAATTAAAAGGAGATCACAAGCAGCAACCAAAAACCCATTTTTATGTTGTTTGGTTACATTATATAGGGTTCTTATTGTTGCAACTTGTGATGGTTTAAATATCATGATAGCTTCGATCCGACTGATATTTGCCTTTATGTTTTTCTGCTTGTAGCTGCCAAGAAAATTAGTCGGCTATGTCTGCTACAATCGAAGTTGTTAGCAAAGCTGAGAGGCAGAAAGTATCCCTTCAATGTTGCAGAAAATACGTTTCTGGTTTAGGTAATTCATGTTTATTGCTTAAAACTTTTGAGCACTTTTCCGTTTACACCAAATTACCAGAATCAAATCCCAAAGTCACATAAAAGAAACAACCAGAGCTGATCCTCCTGCTAGGTACACCTGCAATCACTTCATCTTCCCTCCCCCTCTTCATGTTGCCACTCAATAGCATTTAAAAGGTGTGCTCGAAACAGGGCTAACTTTATTTTTTTCCTCTTCCTTTTAAATCTACAGTATGAAGCACCAAACGCATCAGTTGAAATGGAAGATGAACCAAGAACTTGACAGATTATCTTAATGATTGTTCAATGGTAAAGGGTTTGAACAAATCTGAGTTTGTCTCATTAGTCTTTAATTTCTTGAGCAAGCTGAGATTCTCTATGGAACTCTTTCTCTTGAAACCAATTCCATTACTGCATTCACCTCCATCATGGGATCCTGTATGCCAAGGGCTCAATCTCAGTTAAAGATGAACAAGCTGCTTTCATATAACAATGACAAAAGGTGATTAAAACCAAGTCCCATTCTGTTCATCTGTATTTTACCTGTTGAGCTGCTTTCCCTTAACCTTTTGTTTTCAACCGAGCAAATATCTTTCAGGTGTCGCTTTGCAGTAATTCCAACATCGTTTTTTCCAGGATTTCCAGCTGAATCTCCACTCAAATTAACATCATCTTGAGGTTCATGTGCTCCTACAACAACAAAAAAACACTCTTCAAAAAGGATCCAAAGATGAAACAAGAAAAAAAGGGAAAACATAATAGTAACAAACTTACTCTTAGTCCCAACTTTGCAAAGCTTGCCATCAACAATGAGAGCGCCCTTATGATCACCATCAGTCCCAGTTGACAAACCCTTGGAAGAGAAGAAAGAAAGCAGAGACCTCCAAGTAACAGAAGAAGAAACAAGATCAACCCCTCGGCTTATAAAGTGGCCGTTGAGTTTTACTGTTGATGGGTCTAGGCCGAATAATCGAGAGATGGAGCCAAGGTCCAGTTTCTGGCTATCGCATGCCACGAACGGAACAAGCTTCGATACTGAAGGGCAGAAAAGCCTGATTGTTCTTGGTTTCTCCTTGTTATAACCCGACATGGAATCTGAATCACTTGTTACCAGTTTGTCCCTTTAGCTTTGGGGTAGATGGGTGGAGTTTCTTAGTATATTACTTGCTAGTTGGCTGTTGCTTTCAACTTCCAATGTCTTCTGGAAGTGTCCAAGACAAAGAGTTGTACTTTCTGGAAGAGCATGGGCTCATAGGCTCATGGGCTTTCAACTCATTGATTTTGGAAGAGCATGGGCTTTTAAAGGGATTGGTTACCCAATATGAGTTTTTGGATTTGGTTTGAGTTGGTGCTTAACTACATTTGTCTGGAAACTTAAGCTTCTGAAAAGTTTTCTTGTCGGTCCAGAACAAGAATTGCTTAGGACGATCAGATGAGGTCTTAGTTCAGTAGGTAAGACGATCAGATGTAATCTTAGTTTAGTCGGTAAAGCGCATGACTTTTGATCATATGGTCACGGGTTTTATTCCCACAGGCGGTGGTGATTTAATTTTTTTTAGCTTTCCGACCAAAACCATAACTAGAAAAAGATGTAGAATCTTTCTGTCCTCAATCGTAGCCTTCACTCATGGTTTGAACTAAGCATGATGCAACTTTTGGGCCACTTCTCCACCGGAGGCAGGTTAAAATTGTTATAATCTCATGGTTAATGAAATATAGAAGCTTTATGAACCTGCTGGTTTCAAATATCTTTGCCAAATTATTATTTAGAGACTAAAATGTATAATGGGATACACAAATTCATTTCTGTTAAATGTGAATACGCGTAAACTTTCATATATTTCATCTGAATGACTTGTTTATTAGTAATTGCCTAATAAATTAATAACTAACTGTATTAACTTACTCCTCAACACTCCCCCTTGGGTTTAAATACATCTCTGAACTCTAAATTAGACTGCAAAAAATTATGTTATTGCAACTCTTTTGTTAAAATATCCACCAGCTGCTCTAAGTCACTTGTTTAATTGAAATTTTCTTTCCTGCACTTTGTCCGTCACAAAACGACAATCGATTTCAACGTGTTACGTTCTTTCGTGAAATACATGATTTGTTGTTATATGAAGATGTCTTATTGTCACAGTAAAACTCTAGTGGTAACAAATTATTTACTCAGTTCTCCAAAAATATCAGTCAGCCACATATTTCAAATATTATCATATCCATGCTTTTATATTTGGCTTCAGCTAAGGACCTTGTCACTATACGTTGCTTGTTTCACTTCCACCACGAAATTAAAGTCTCTCCTGGTTTCAGACAAAAACATGTTATTGACCTTTTTGACATTGGACAAGTTGTCCAATCTAAGTCTTGGTTTTGAAAAGCATGCTTAGGCGCTCTTAAAGCGTTAGGCGCATGTGGGCGCAGAATCAAACACTTTTGAAGGTAAAGAAGAAATAGAAGAGATTAATAATAGTAGATGAGAATGGTTTTCTCCTTATTCCATAACCCTGACACATATTAGTTTGATAACCCTACATCTTACACCTGTAAGAATTGCACAACACATCTTCCACATGTAAGAATTGCACAGCACATCTTACACGTGTACAAAGTAATTTGCAATTGTTTTAACTTATTTTTGCATATTTTCTTATTCCTAATTTCTTATCACTTATAATTTACAGTAAAAAACTAGAAAATTGAAGATAATTTCTAATGTAATAAAATTAATTATATTACATTTTGATTATAAACTATGCATTATAATTATTGTATAAGCTTTTTAAATTATATTATATTTTGAGTATAAATTATGCTCTATTATTGGTATATAAATCTTTTATATAAAAGAGTGTCTCACCTACGAAAGGTAGGCATCTTCTCCTTACGTCTAGGCTCCATTGACTCCATTGACTCTTTGCGCCCCAGTGCCTTACGCCTTTTAAAACCAGTCACAGTATGCTGTCAGCTCAAGCTTGCACGTCGCCTTATAAAATAATCCCTTGACTGGTTCATTCTTGATGTATCTTACCACCCTCAAAGTTGCTTCCATTTGAGATTTTTTCTATTGATGCATGAATTGACTTAAATTTTGAACAGCAAACACAATATTCAACCATGTATGTGTCAAATGAATCAGCCTCCCTATTAGTCTCTGATAACTTGTAAAATCTTCGATTAGGGGTATTCTAATTTTTCTCCTTTGTTTGCCTCCATTGTAGTGAGCTTTACATTTTGTTCCATGGGTGTCAATGCTAGTTTTGCTCCCCTTAAATTCATATCTTTTGAGTTCCATGGCATATTTTCTTTGACTTTCAACAATATCTTCCTTTGATCTCATTACCTCGAAGCCTAGAAAATATTTCACCACATCCAAGTCTTTCATGCTAAAGTTCTCATCTAAAAGAGCCTTTAGCTCATCAATCAACACTTTGTCATTTCCAATAATATGCAAATCATCAACATAAATTAGCAAGATCGCAAACTTGTCTCTCTGCCTCTTAGTAAGATAGAGTAATCGTATCGAATTTGTTGATAACCATACTTCTGCAATGCTTCAGGCAACTTAAGATTCCACTGTCTTGAAGTTTGCTTAAGACCATATAAAGACTTCTGCAACCTACAGACTTTGTCCTCCCATGGCGGTAGAACCTCAGAGGCAATTCCATGTACATCTTCTCAACAATATCCTCTTGGAGAAACGCATTTTAAACATCCATCTAAAAAATGGTTCAGTTATTCGAGGCTGCCAAAGCAAGCACAGTACGCATAATAATCAACTTAGCAATAGGAAAGAAGGTATCAACAAAAACTAAACCCTCCTCCTGGTTATAACCCTTAGCCACTAAAAGAGCTTTGAAGCGTTCAACCTCCCCAGAAGCTTTGTATCTTACTCGAAAGATCCATTTACGGCTAATGCGTCTTTTTACAATAGGCAAAGGTACCATAGACCAAGTCTGATTGTTTTTCAAAACATTAATTTCCTTATTCATGACTTGAATCCAAAGTGGATTTTGAATGACCTCTTTATATGTTTTGGGTTCATGAATCAAAGAAGTAGAAGTAAAAAAGTTTTTTGTATAAATAGGTCAGGAGGTTATAAGAAATAGATAAAGAAATACGATGAATACCTGAAGGGATGAAAGATTGACATGAATGAACAAAGTCCTGTAACAAAGAAGGAGACCTCAAAATTCTAGAGAATTTTCTGTATCCAAAGAATAACTAAGGTCTCATGTTGAAGTCAAAAATGTAGGTGAAATGACAGTGGGTGAAGAAGATTCAAGGGAAGAAACTGCAGGTGAAACATGTACTGCAGAGGAAGAAACTACGTGCAAGGAAAAAACTAAAGGAGAAGAAACTATAGGGGAAGAGACTACAGGTGAAACGGGAACTATAAGGGAAGAAAGAGTTGCAGGTGAAACAGGAAATACAGAGGAAGAAGGAATAACATATAAAATGATTATAAAATCATCATCTGAAATAGTAGGAGAAGGAGAAAAAAATCCAAAATTAGATGTAATTCTGAAATGGAAACAATGTTTCATGAATATTATATCCTTGCTAACAAAAAAATCTTAGCTTGAATATTGAACAATAAATATCCTTTTTTTAGTATTAGAATATCCCATGAACATTGAAGGAATTGACCTTGGAGCAAATTTATCTTATTTTCTGAGCTTTATAAAAAAATAAACAAATAAAACTTCTGGCATATGATAAATTAGGAGATTATTTTTATAAAGAACTTCAAACAAAGCTATCCAACCAAGAACTAATGAGGCTAACCTATTGGTTAGATGTCGATATTTTCTGTTAACCACTCAATTTTATTGTGGAGTTGACACAACTATATTGATGAATTATGCTCAGAGAATAAAATAGGAAAGAATAATATGAGACAAAAAACTTTTTTCCATTATCACTTCTAATAATATTAACAAAGGTATAGAACTGATTTTGAACTGGCTTGAAAAAGTTTGAGAGATAAAGGAGAACATCATATTTTGACTTCAATAGATAGACACAAGTCATTCTACTGAAATCATCGACTATAGTAAGAAAACATCTTTGCCTAGAGTGTGTGGAGATTTTATAAGGTCTCCAAAGATCCATATGAATCCATTTAAAAGGTGATGTGGTTTTAGATGAATTGATAGAAAAAGACAATCGAGTTTGTATGTCAAGGAACAAACAAAACAAGTACTAATATTATGTTCAGTAAAATTAACAGTGTTTAAAAGAGAAGTTTTATGAATCTTATTAATAGAATCATTTCCTAATCAAGCATGTCAAACCTTAGCATCAAGATGATTAGTTTACATGCAATGAGACAAAGAAGAATATGACTTATCATGCATATGGAAATCAGAATTAGACTAAGGTGAAAAAAAAGGGTATAGAGGCCTCTAGAAGTCCTACCAATCTTCATCATCCTTCCATTGGAGATTTTCTGAAGTAAATAATAATCAAAATAAAAATAAACAACGCACTACAAGTCACGGTTCAAACGAGATATAGAAAAGAAATTATGCATAAATTCAGGAACAAAGAGAACACTGTGAATTGTACGAGTGGATGACAAAGCTACAAAACTGATATATGTGATAGAAACATGTTTACCAGTACGAAGGTAGACACAACGAGAGTTCAAGACAGATGAAAGGGGATTAATTAAGCTTTGTTAGTTAAAATAAATGTGGCCAATAGAAATAGACTATACTGAGGTCACAGGAGCTGATGATAATCAAAGGTCTAATATATATTGATATTGTGCATGAGTAAATGACTGAGCCGATGTGGAAGCAAGCAAAGGAACATAAGGCATGGAAATTGATGTGAATAAATTTTTTTTTAAAAAAAATAATTTGGGAGTCGCCATCGGCCTTCTGGATCAGGTAGGTCGAATACCTAAAAATTATTTTTTTCAAAAGAGTTTTAAGAAAACATCAATTTAAAAAAATGAACTGATCTGCGTTTTATAACCAAAAATTCGTTCTTTTTAATAATAAAAAGGGATTCGTGGTCGGTTACGTTTAGGGAAGGATTAGCACCCCTACAACGCCCAAAATTGGTACTTTTTAATTATAAATTGTCTCTATTATTAAAATTTAAAAATTCAAAAATATA